GCATAAAGAATGACGAATACGCAGCTATATCTTCAGTTACTCCTTGGAACAACAAACCCTAGTCGCTCAAGAATGAAAGGGCAATCGATGTTAAATTCGATAAGCTTTTGTAGAAACTTTTCATAAAATGCGTTTCTTCTGTTCGTCAAGGAAACCATATTGTGTCGCGCAAGCAAATCATTTTGTGGTATACCTAGCTCAGGGTAAATTCCATCAGATTTGTAAGAAATGATTAAGGAGGAGAAATTAAGGGATTAAGGGATAATTAAATGAGATGGACTCGATTAAGTCTTAAGAACTCACATGCATGTAAGGGACTCCAAATCAGGCAAGCGTATTCTAACTTACTCAGAACGTAAGAAATATGAAGTTTTATGACGATTGTTGAAATATTTAGACATACGCATCACAAAACCTAGGGACCTAAAGGCCTCCGAACACACGTTATTGATATGTGTTTTAAAATTAAGACTTGCATCAAACAGGACCTCCAAATCCCTGTACTCCTCAACACGACTTAAAGTGCTGGCAGCAATATTGTAAGGATATATGCATGGTGACGAGCATCGGCTATAAGTAAGTACACAACATTTATCTATATTAAGGTTAAGTTTGTAGATCTTACACCATTGCACTATTGTGTTTATGTTGTGCTGCAGCTTATCAGCATCTGCCACCGATGAGACTTCGGCAAAGATCTTAATATCATCAGCATACCCCAAGATCCGACAATCAATTTTTAGAAGTAAGTCATTTATGAAAAGAACAAATAATAGAGGGCCCAAATTTGATCCCTATGGAACCCCTGAGGTAAGAGTGAACTCATTAGAAAAATATCCATTGTAAGTAACATGACATTTTCTATGTTGTAAATAAGAGGCCAAAAGTTGAATTGCTGAAGGGACAAATCCGAAAGAGCTCAATTTATGCAAGAGAATTCTATGGTCAATCAGATCAAAGACTTTGGATAGATCAGTGTATACAACATCCACTTACCCACGTTTATGCAAGGTGCTACAGATAAACTCGGAAATCGTAGCCAAGTTGGTAATTGTAGACCGAAAACAAAACCATGCTGGGATGCTGACACAAAGGGGCGTGTGCTGGTGTACATAAAAGAATATAATAATTTTTCAAATAGTTTAGTAAAATTAGAAATTATCGTAATTGGTCTATAGTTTCAGAGGGACGTACGATCATCCCTTTTATAAACAGGCACAATTCTTGATCGTTTCCAGCGTTCAGGAATTTCACAGAACGTAATGGACAAGTTAATAATAAATTTAAGAGGGCAAGCAAATATATAACGACAGTCTCTGACCATATAACTTGGCAACAAATCATCTCCAGCAGTATGATTATTAGAAAACGTTGCCATTAATTTAAGATTCAGTGAAAGTTCGGTCAGTAGATACAGTGTGAACAGCAGAAAACATGTTAGCAAAAGCATTTACAATATCTTGAGGATCAGCAAGAACATTGCTCTCATTATCAATCAGATTACAGGGTATTCTTGTCATTCAAGCGTATGCCACTGCAGTAGACAAAAGTGAAGAATTTACCAAAAAAGGCGAAACAACTATTATTGCAGGGTACTTTAATGGCAAAATTGACCAAGGCAAGGTTGAGGGTGTATTTGGTAGATATAGTCTGGGCACGCGCTACGAAAGGGGCGAACGACCAATAGAATTTTGCAACGAGTTCGAATTAACAGCTACTAATATTTCCTTTAAACAGTATCCTAGGCGACGTTACACATGGAAAGCGCCAGAAGACAACATAATACGTTATCAAATCAACTATATACTAGCCAAAAAACATTTGTTGTGTCACTTAAAGAAAGTAACTACACTACCTGGCGCAGACATAAGCAGTGATTACAATCAGGGCGCGATGACGATGAAATTCAGCAGGTTCAAACGATTAAACAGAAAAACCTTAGCAAAGAAGATATATATCGCACGTCTCAACAATGCAGAAGTAGGAGGGCTTTAGGGGGGCACTCGACATTACGCAGAACAACGACATTGGTTACAGGGTTAAGAAGAAAAACCAACAGTGGATGTCCGATATCTTATAACTCATGGAAAAAAGAAGAATATATAAGAACAAAGATAAGAATAAATAGAAAGAACCTAAAAAAAATCTTCAGATGAAACACGGCACATTTCACCTTCACAAAAAGGTCACAGCACTTACCAACAAGCGCAAGCAGAATAAAGGTATTCTCAAAGATCACAACAACAGAATCTTGATAGAAATAGAAGAGAAACAATACGTCGAGGGCCTGTTTGGAGACAATCGATCTAAGGACCCTACCCCAGGTTTCTAAACTAGCGAGTCATGTCTGATGATTACCAAAAACGAAGTGCATGCTATCAGGCTGAAAACAAGGCACCTGCCCTGATGAAATTCTTGCAGCAGCGTTAAAACTGATAGCTGAAAAGGATGGTGAGGGGTTAAAGCTGATAAAATCGTTGTTCAACGCCATATACATGACGGGGAAGATACCAGAAGATTGGTCAAGATCTACATTTATAATATGTACTCCCAAAAAAGCACATGCCACCCAGTACGATGAGTACTGTATGATAAGCCTGATGTCTCACGTTCTGAAGACTTTTTTGAAGAGTCTTTCTAAGAAAATTTGAATTCACAAGGTTATCATCAAGCCGTTAAAAAGATTTTTTCATGTTTCCATACATTACGCGCGCACTGTATAAAGTTGTGTAAATAAAATGGCAAAATTCAACATAAAGATGTGTTCTGAAATCATTATAGTGCAATTCCCATACAAGTACATTTACCTGACAGTTAATTTTATCAATAGACACAAAAATTAAACATATTATTTCTAATAGTTTAGCAATTTAACATCTCATCTACTAAGCTTTCTTGTTATCGTTAAAAAAAAGCTACAAACCATATTGTCCCGACAGACGTTATTGGACAAGTTTTAAAATATCGTAAAGTGATTAACTACGAGAAAGTTTTTAGAAGTACTGAAAGTTTTCGTAAATATTCACTTTGTTATTAACAACATTTTTTATGACGTATGTTTATAATGTACTAATTTAATCACTTTTTCCTCAATGCGTTAATTATGTACATTTAAAAATTTTGCTTAAAAACTTTTATTAAAGTGGAGACAATAAAGTTTTTAATTTTTAATTTTTGGTTGGATTTTCTGTCTAATTATTTACGATCGAGTAAATCTAACTATTAAGTGTGTTTTATGTTCAAAGAAACACAATAAATAAATGGATTATGAAACAACTGCATACAATTGTTATATTTTAACAATTGCTCAAATATTTAAAACCAATCTCGTTAATAAAATAAATTTTCTTTAGAAAATATGAACATTAAACAGATCGTGATTAAATATTGGATAATATTACACAATGTTACATCTAAATTGAATACTGGCGATCTGATAGAAATACAGGAATGCTGATTAATTCCAACTTTTTAAAGGTGAATTTATAATTTTGGAATTTAAAAATAGATATTTAATTTATTACATTATTCACACTTTATGTTTACAATTTTATTTATATTTAAAACTTTAAATAAACTAAACCAGTTTCCATTGAAATTTTCGACGATGCCTGAAATTGACTTTTCAAACTTTCTCGCGATGATCAAATAATTTATGACATTTAGACAACTTTTCATCGGAATAAACAAATACGCAAGACCGGACAAAGATAGCGGCCACTTCTACAAGCCTTAGAAGTGATTATCTCGTTATGACCACCAAATCCTCACAAAACAATAAAATCAATAATCCAATTCTAGGGAAGTTAAGTATCCCAGACGATTGGAAATCTGTAGAAAAGTAAAAACGAACTAGAAAAAATGATGATGGTCCTGAAAATAAAAGCAATAAACAATCAACAAAGTAGATACGATCTACTAGACAATTAAATGAAGAACGGGGATCGAACAAAAGTAACAACGCGTCCACCTGTACACTTCATTCGTACATGATGTAGATTACATCAAACACTTTTCCAACTCAGACTGCTACTAATCTCTACATCCTGAATACCCTAAATAATAACCAGAAAAAAGTGCAATTAAATACACCTGAAGATTTTTTGGAACTCATCAAAGCTGAATTAATTATCAGAACTCACATATCACATATATTAGTTAAAATTCGACCGTAATGTTTGAGTTGTTGAGTCACCTGGTCATCCAGTTTCAAACATTGCCAGCATCAGACAACGGGCTACAAAGAAATATTTACCGTTATCAACGTTGAACTATGTCATATAACAAAGACAACTGTAAGGTAAAACCCTTTTTAATACGATCGTTGTTATTGAGCCATCGCACCCTAAAAGATTATTACCAGTATCAACGATGGCAGATATTTAGTTATACCAAGGCATATTTTAATAGGGTTCCAAGATGGGTAAAGTGTACGTGAAAACACTGTTAAAGAAAATAGTAATAATCATTACGAACATGAAAAATATAGTCTAATACATCGATTCATGTCATGGAAAGTTAGCAATATCATTTTTTCAATTGCTGGAATGTCGCTTTATTGCGATTACAATCCAAAACAACATTTCTGAGGTTCAAGACTCATCTCCACCAGAGGATGGAATCTTTACAGACCTATTTTGGACAATATGGTGAACACTCTTTCTATAGGCCAACCAATATATTGGCCCTTTGACCTGGCTAAAATACGTAATCTTATCGACTTCTGTGTTTTAAGGGATTATCATGGGTGGTATGAATAAAGGAGAGTAAAACCTTATACTCGCAAAATTTCGAGCATTTGCTACATATTTTATGAATAAAAATGTAAGTAAAAGCTTTTACTCAACACTTTCCCCTGAGCATGAGCATCTACTTACTTTTAAGCATATGCTCCGATTGATATGAATAAAACGGAGGTTTTGCTTCACATTTTGAGCATATGCTCGATAAAATGTGCATCTAGTTCAGTACTAGATGCACCCTTTCAGTGGTCGGTAATAATGGCAGAGTTTATTAATTTACGGGCAGAAAAACATTACAAAGTACGAAGAGGAGCTGATAACCGAGATTTTAAATCACTTTACCGGTTTGAGGAAGAAAATTTGCATTACATTGCAACACACTTTATGGGCGAGAACAACGAAAGAAGAGGAGGTGCTCTTTCGTCGGACCTTAAAATTAAGATATTTTTACGGTATATGGCCAATCCTGGTTTCCAAACTGGTGTTGCTGAAGAATTGGGAATTCATCAGTCGACAGTATCAAAAACAATTACGTTCGTGATTAACAAAATACTCGAAAAAGCTCCTTTATGGATCAAATTTCCGTCAACGTTGAACCAAGTAAACGAAGCACAGGAGAGGTGGCAGGAGACATTTCAATTTCCATGTGCGATAGGCGTAATTGATTGCACACACGTTCAAATATTGAAACCTATCCATCACGGTGATGAATACATCAACAGAAAGGGGTTGGCGACTTTAAATGTGCAAGCAACGTGCAACTCCAAAGAAATCTTTACTAGTGTTGATGCAAGTTGGCCGGGTTCTGTGCATGACGCTAGAATTTGGAGAAATTCTGAAACACGTTTGATTATGCAACAATTCCCTGGTGCAATATTATTAGGAGATGACGGTTATGGTTTGGAACCGTGGCTAATGACACCATTTCGGAACCCAAATAACGAATCTGAAAGAACTTACAACAGATTGTTTAAGAAAGAAAGGGTGATTATCGAAAGATGTTTCGGCCAACTTAAGCGAAGATTTCCAATTCTAAAATATATGTGCCGTGTTAAATTGGAAAGAGTCCCTTCCGTTATTGTTTGTTGCATTGTACTACACAACATTGCCAAATATTTAGGAGATGCAGATTTTCCAGATGATGATGATGAAGAAAATCTCAATAACGGCGAAGAATATGAATTAGAAGAAGATCGTCTTCTTCAGCGTGCAAGAGAGCGAAGACTTGAAATAGCTGATGTTATCTTTACACAGAATTTGAGGTAGAAGTTTGTGTATTATAAGAGTTTGAAATAATTAAAATAAAAAACATATATATTGATATTTTTATTAAATACTTATGCTTTACAAATTTAAATATACAAAAAAATATTTTTATGCGCCGTACAACAATAACAAAAATAAAATGCTTCTGGTACAAATTATAACCCTTAAGAATGTAATGTTTTATTTATGTTAAATAAAGAGAAAATTCTTNGGTATAATTCAGTATGTTAGGTTAGGTAAATAAACACAAACATCAAATACTAAGAGCGTAAGTATAACAACTGCGGCACCGATTTATACAAGTCACGACGAGTTAGACGAGCAAATCCTCATTTGATCTAAGCAGATGCTCATAAGTAAAAGCAAATCATTATTCATACAAATCGGAGCAAATGCTTATACTCGGACCTTTTACTTTCAGCATAAGCTTATAGCTGTTGCTTATACTTAAGAGCATTTGCTCGCTTTTTATTCATACCACCCATTGAACTACGTTTAAAAGTGAGCCTTTATTTGAGTTATCATTTGACCAATTAGCATTTATCGTTGAGGCAGCTATAAAAGTGTGTCTTTTGACCAAACCACTTGCTTTAATAACTAAAATAAAACTAAAAAATAAAAACTAATGGGCTTTAAAAAGTACGAAGACTTTCACTGCCGGTATTAATTGAACTAAAACTAGCACTTGCACTATCACTAGAAGTCACTTGACACTTCGAGCTAGTTTTTAAAGAAGATTGCAACATGGCATCCAAAACCATTACCACAATTACCGAAAACTTCTTAAAAAACCTATTCCACACTGCTGATAAAAATAAGTTTATTCGAGAAATGTTGAAATAGTAACAATATGGTTATAAGGACTTTTATCATAAACAATCAATAGCAGCTTCCATTTAAATAAACCTTCCAATCAAAAGAGTCAGTATATGCGCATTCAAGGAAATTATTGATGGACTGAGATCAAAAAATACTCCGAATATGATCTGATCACAACCACAAACCTGAAGTAAATTCCAGGTTAACATCTTCAATACTATGATAATAGTGGGCTATTTTCCCATGCAATGGACGGTATTACAAATAATTGTGATCTCCAAGCCGAATAAACATTCAGCTATTGTGACGTTACATCGGCCAGTTGCAGGATACTCTATCCATGAAGAACTTAATACCAGATTACCAGTTCAGTTTTAGAGCTCTGGACAGTAAAAAGTACTGCACCGCAGCCTTCTTGGATGTTTCTCAAATTCTAATACTTCAGGATGATCTGAATTCTCGTAACTTGGGAATAGTTTGCAACTACAATAACCCTCGGATCTTCCTTGGACGTTATCGGTACTTTTGCTGATAATTATGGCTACTTACTGTGAACGTAATTTGGTGACCAAAGATATTCAGTTTCATCTGGACATGTTTCAGGAGTGGCTGACGACATCGAAGGTCATCGTCAATATTACGAAATCCACGTGTATTATTACTAGGGCCCGGAACTTTTGTAACGGTACGATACGATTTACCCCCTCCACTTGTTCTCCTAGAAAATGAGTCGGTGGCGTCAAGTCAACACACCTGATCGGTTGTTATTGACAACCGACAATCGGTTTTTTGTTGCGCATCAATGTCAACTGTCAGTACGATTTCACTGTTGTTCAAATGTGCAGTATTCTACGCTTTTCATCCGCATAATTTCGTCAAATTTGCTATTTATCTTTCTTTAGTTACCTTTAATTGGAATTTGGAGTTCTGTTTGAGTTCGTATTATAGTTTTTTTTTAAGAATTGTTTTTAGTTTCCCTTTGTGGTAAAATTATTGTTGTTCGGATTTGAAAATTGTTCAACAAATTTTCGAAAACAATATACCTTTAACTCTTAAGGAAAAATATGGTTCAATAGCTACAAATTGCGATGTTGAAAGATCATTTTCTAGGTACAAACACATTTTAACGTCAACTAGAACGTCATTTACAGATGAAAATTTAGGGATGGTTGTTTCAATATACGTTAACAGCAATATTTTTATATCCGTATCCGATTTGTGATTGATATTACAAATCGGATCCTGTTTGTTTGAATTAAAGTTATAAAATATATATTTTTTTAATATTTTCAAATCGTACTGACAGTTGACACTGACGTGTAATAAACCGATTGTCGGTCGTCAACAACAACCGATGAGGTGAGTTGACTTGGCGCCACCGACTTATTTTCTAGGAGAACAAGTGGAGGGGGTAAATCGTATCATTTCGTTACAAAAGTTCCGTGCCCTAATTATTACATTCACTCTTAGAACGGGTAAATGTATTCTATTCAGAAAGTATATTGCTATATGAACAAAAATTCTTGCCTATGTCGTGAAAATAAACTTAGAATTTGCAAAGCCATACTGACAGCAATCTGGTAATATACAATAATGGGGAACCGCTAGCGAAACAAATATATTGCAATTGCTACGATTTCAATCCAAAATTTACTGACATATCTGTCAAGCACTATCGTACAAGTAATCTATGAGAATCTCTAAATGCCAACAGTGAAATAAGTAGTGTTTTACCACCAGAATTTTAAGTACGCGACATGGTTGGAAAACCCTTTTAATGTTCACGCCAGCAATTTCAGTTATCGACTCACCACAAATAGATTGAAAAGGAGGATTCGATTTTCCGTCAAAATCTTAGCGGAAAGAGAAGAAACAAAAGAAAAGGAATAGACAAATGCTACATACAGAATAAAGAATACTAGTGACACGTCGCTGGACGTGATCACGCTATGTTAAATCAATACATTTCATTTTATTTCATAACAAGTCATAAAATGCCGATTATTGTCATTTTTGTGAACAAATTACAATTACTGTAGAAGTCAAAAAAGCTATTAATTATAACAATAAAATAACTTTGCTAAATTTTTAATAAAGTATACACTGCGCCTAAATACAATTTCTCATTTATATTTATTCAAAGTCAAAAAATTCGCTCTCGTACATTAGAAAACTGTCTTAAATATGTGATAAAATTACCACTATCCTGTTTACGATTTACGTTCAGGGAGTGCCTGTGCACTAATTATCACTAAAATACTTTTAGTATGAAAAAAGATTTATGAAATCAGTTCACGTGATCATAATACTGGTAGAAAATTTGAATCTCAAATGTTTTTTTCTTGAGTTCACCGATTCATATTTTCTCAATTTTCTCATCACGCGATCTAAATAGCTATCAAATAAAGTAGCAGATCACTGAAAACCATATTAGTGGCTTTTACTAATATTTTACTTTTATTTTTACTAATATGGTTTTCTTTTTACCGAAACAGTTGAGTGTTTGACTAATTATATAATCACAGAGCTAAAATAAGAATGTATCAAGGGAAAAATTGTGCCTAAAAACGTATATTAGAAATTGATTCACTTCCTTACTTTTCTATCTTGTGGGAATCACAGATGAAACCTCATCCAAGGAGAGCATCATGTTGTGTTCACAAAAACTAATTTTTTGTTTTGTCACAAATGCCGTTCACTCTGTTTGCCGGTTCAAGTCAGAGGTGGGTTATTTTGAAAGCACATGTAAAATCCTTATCGGTAACACTTTCGAAAACTAAATGAGAATGCAGTTTAATGCAATCGGTGAAGGCCGTTAAGTACCAACTAAACGATATACAGAGTCGAACAAAAATCTAGAAACGTCTAATTTTCTCATAAATGAGCAGCTAGAATTATAAAAAAAAGTTGGGAATGATTTTTTTGGTATGCGGGGATTCTAGACGTAACATATACAATATTGCCAGATTTACTGTTTCTCTGATTAAGTTAATTAGTCTAAACTCTACCTTTCAATACGGTTCTAATTAGTTCATTAATACTTAAAATATGATTTAGACAGAAAGGTGGTAAGTATATAAAATAAAAAAATTAAATTTATTTATAGAAGTTGTATTTCTAGGTTCTAGAATTGATTCTGTTTACTCTCTCTCTGCTTCAGAAGGCTAGATGATCTTATCTTCCTATTTCTTGAGACTAATTAGTAGTAGAAAGGAGATCAAAGTACGACTAAATATTAGCAAAACAGGGCAGCCCAAAAGACCAAGCACAAGCGGAGTATACCACCGACCATATAGTAGACAAAATTGTGAGAAATGATAAGAGGAAGTGAACAAACACATAGCAGACCTTGCTGCAGCAAAATCTGATGCCACGGAACTATATAGTATTACACAAATTCTGTCTAGGAAGGGATTCAATAAGAGTATGCCTATAAGGGGTAAGGATGGACAACTGTTGACAACACAAGAAGAGTAGCTGAAATATGGAAAGAACATTTCTCCGAGATTCTAAATAAAGGACAAGAAAAGGAGGAGCAATCCAAGGAAATAAAGCTGTCAATGCTGCTGACATTGGCATAAAGGCACTACGTCATAATAAAATTGAAGCAGACCAGCAATGGAAAGGCATCAGGTGTAGACAACATTGCACCTAAAGTACTAAAAGAAAACATTGGGGCTACTGTTGGATTATTACACCCGTTATTTGAGAAGATATGAACAAAAGAAAAGTTGCCTAGATACTGGAAACATGGATTATAAAACGACCAAAGAAAAGGGACACTACTGATTGTAACAACTGGTCATCCATCACTTTTGTATCAGTGCCAAGTAAAGTATTCTCTAGCATAATCCTGAAGGATTAAGAACTTAGTTGAAAAGCGTTTAAGGAGGCAGCAAGTAGGATTCCGTAAACATTGAAGTTGCGTTGATCTTATCAATACACTCCGCAGAATTGTTGAACAGAGTAGAATTTTCGAGTAGACTTTACTTGATTTTCATCGATATTGAGAAAGCCTTTGCCTCGTTAAATAGAAGAATAATGTAGGATACTCTGGAAGAATATGAGGTCCCTCTGGAGATCATCAGTGTTATCAGGAAGATGTATGAGAGATATGAGTGTCAAGTGGCGCATTGTGGAAAACATTTCGATTCTATCTGTATTCTGTCACCCATACTGTTCCTCCTGGTATTGTATACAGTAATGAGAAAGGTTACAGAAGGAAGAAGAAATGGTATTCAGTGCAGGTAGCAAGATAGACTTGCTGAGCTTGAGCTTGTAGACGACATTTGCCTGTAAAGCTGAGAATACTGCGAGATGGTGCAGAAGCAGGAGTAAAAGTCAATGTTCAGAAAATGGAGGAGATGAGAATCAATCCTGTAGTTGAAGCTAAGTTAACAATAAATGGAAGAGACTTCGAACGAGTTAAAACATTCGTGTACCTTGGTAGCGTTGTGGATGGAGGGGCAGAGGAAGATGTGAAGAAACGAATAGAGAGGGCAAATGGGGGTTTCGTGCAATTGTACCCTATCTAGAGAAGTAAGAACATTTTAAATTGAATAAAACTTAGCTTGTTCAACAATAACGTAAAGTCGGTCGTCCTGTATGGATGTGAAACATGGAAGGTCACCACGGGAATATCGAACAATTTACAAGTGTTCCTTAATCAATACTTGCTACGCATTATAAACGTAAGGTGCCCGGAGGTGATGAAGACGACTTGTAGGAGAGAACACACCAACAACCCGTTAGTGACCAAATCAAGGAGCACGGAGACGAGGGTACCCAAGAACTGTTGAAGAAAAAGCAATGGAAGCTGAAAAAACGTGGAGAGAAGTGAAACGCCTTGCTGCCAACCGGACATTTTTAAAATTGTATCATTTATATATTGAATGGTTTGAACATTTTGTAATATTTGTTATGCAACAGAATGTCGACTCCGGATCTTTCTTGCTTATACAAGTGCATAATTCTCAAATGTCGATGTCCCATGTCCTTACTTCTTTCTCTCAGAGATTCCATGTGAATCGATGTTATAGTTCTAAATTTTTAGTTTGTTTGATTTGTTTAATATCTTCTTGTATGTGGTTACAAAGTTTGTTAAACTCAGTTTATCTTATTTGAATTCCTGATATTTTCTTATTAACTAGGGGATAATTATTTTCTTTATATGATTTATATTTTTTGTGTGATTTACTTTATAAAACAACAGTAGCGAATAATAAATTTTATTTTGCAATAACGCTTGTTTACAGGACGCTTAAGAAGTGTAAGAAATTAGAAAATATTATATTATTTGCTTGTATTCATATTTGTTTGTACTATCCGAAGTATTTATTACTTCGTAGGATTAGATATTTCTGACTTTTGTACTGCTCACAAAATAACGCAAGGTAGCCTAGAAACGTGTGATAGATTATGGTGAAAACGAGTATTAAAGTGAATCTAATAGCATTTGTACATGTTTCGTATCTAAGTAATTATACAAAAATCTAATATTAATGTTGTTTCAGAACGCTAGTATATAGAAGTATCATCAGAAGATACCTATGCGAAGTTAGCCTCCAATTAGATAGAATTTTACATGTATACCTACTGCCTCAGTATAAGACGTATACCGAACCAATCTTTCCCATATCAAGTAATGTAAAAGAAATGTAAAAACTGAACTTTATTATAGATTTTTAAAGTTATGATATTAAATTAATTATTTCAGTGGTTTTTAACCACAGTTTGGCCCCTACTACCTACTACTAAAATATAAAAACAAAAGTAAAAAAATTTCTATTCTAAAAAAGAAGAGCCTCATTCTGAGTTTTGTTACTTTTCTATCTTCTTGCACTTTACACGTGTATCAGTAACTTTTATTAAAAATCTCTCCAAAGAACTTTGTGCTTGTCTTTTTCTTAGAATGTCTCTAAAATGTGACATTGTCTGGTCTTCCCAAGCGATGCTGTTACGACTGGTTTGAACTTGGTTAGGGTGATATTATTCTGCAAAATTTTTCAGGTCCATCCATTCTGTAAGGATTTCTTTAATTAATGATGAAGAGGCCTCTTCTACCTCTTCTTCATCTGAGTCAGAAGAGAGTCCATCTATTCTAGTCTGATGCTCATCGGTTTCCATTTCCTGTAACTCCTCAGTGGTTAATTCTTGATTATGTTCTTAAGTAATTAAGTTAGTAAGTTCTTCCAGTAATTCTTCTACATCATCATCACATACATCCAGTTCCATGGATCTGGCCAGGTAAACAATATCCTTCACTATAGAGCCCCTAGATTCGACATTTCATTCGGTTACTGCATGTGGCCACAAATTTTTCCAAGCGGAATTCTTTGTTCTGTGAGAAAGTTCTTGCCAAGCTTTATCAATGAGCGATATATCCTGTACAGTATTAAAATGATTCTTCCAGAACTCTGTTAGGGTTAATTCTGTCTCGGAGGTTACTTCAAAGCACTTTTGGAATAAGGCTTTAGTATAAAGTTTGTTGAAATTACTTATGACCTTTTCTGTTTACACTACGTGAAAGTGTTACTAAGAAGTGGCCATATGCAAATTTTCGGAATGATCGACCTACTTTGATAAAAATCCATATCAACCAATTTTATTTCTAACAAAGACTGCCATAGAAAAACAAAATTGCCTTCCTGTCAATCTTAATCTTACAAAGTGTATTTTAGTAAACTTAAAGTGTTTTTTAAATGTTAACAGTTACAATGTTATAAGAGGAAAAAGTTTTCGTGATTCAGCGTTATGAAACAGAGGGAAAACCGATAAATATGGTTATTGCTTTACTTAGTGAAAAATTTCCAAATACTGGAATTAAAAGAAGTACTTGTTGGCGTTTAACAATGGGTTTTATCAAAGTAGGGCGATGATTCCGAAAATTTGTGAATATTTTACATTTTATAAGAATCGTTTCACCTATCCGAGGACACACTGTATATACATATATTAATATGTATGTATGTATTTTATTTTAAAATAACGCAAAATTCTCACAGACATTTTTTGTCTTATACCGAATAGTAAATGTATTCCTAATTGGACGTATTCTAAAGCAGTCGTATACAGAGGTTCGACTGTAACACAAAAATGACCGCGATGTAGACATAACTTTGTTTTATAACTAAACTACACAGAAATTAAGTGTTGTAAGAAACAATATGTTTTTATTACTGAGTATTTAAAGTTATTAAACTTATATTAAAATGTATTCGAGTAACACAATTTTATAAACTGCGTATGATCAAAACACTAAAGTAATAAAGTAAAATACTTTTACCACGAAGTTAAATGGTTGGGTACAAGAAAACTTTTAGTTGTGGTTTGCACACTCATTAAAATTACTCGTGGTCTTGTAATCCACAATTATAGCAACACCTACTTGTTTTGCCTTTAACTGCTCATGGTAAACCTCAACGAATGTAATATATGCGAATATAAAAAAACATGCTTTTCTATAATACCAATCAGATTACTTATTAATTAAAATTAATTAAACATACATAAATTTCATTAAATCAAAAATGTTTTGAATATTTTAAATAGAAAATAAAAATAGCCATAAAAAACACTTTATATTAGTTGCGGTCTATAAACGTAGTTTTATTACTTCTCTTTTGTAATGTATGGAATAACCAGCATATTATCAAGCACTAATTACCTAGTATTAAAAGTACTAAGCATATTTCTAATCAGTTAATTTGTTCCCATAATGATATTTTAAATATTTAAAGAATGTTTATACGCAATTTTTAAGATATTTATTTCATTTAAATCTGAATAGTATTGTTTGTTTTGTCTTCTATTTCACGGTCAAATGCCATCATAAAAACAACTATAAAATGCTTTTATTTCAATACCATCGTATCGCAAATTTTGTAGATTTGCATAGTATAAACACCTTTACTACCAATCTTCTAAAATGAGTAAATTTGTGATGTTAATATTGTTTAAATAACCTCGTGTTCATATTTCCTGATTTTATACAACCTTCTACTATCCATTACAGTCACAAGGAAAAAAATATTAAAACAAATGTTGCTTTCTATTTTTAATGAAAGTTGAGTAATTCTCCTACTTATTAACCCATCCAAATTCTCATTAAATTAAAACAAAAATTATTATCGTGTAATATGTTACATTAAGTAATGAAATATTACCAGTTCCATTACCCCAATTGTGCTACTGACCACGGAATATTAAATATTTAATACAACTATAATCACACAAAGCGCTTTCCATTTTAGGATTACGATTTAGTAAATTGTACAATTCATGTCAATTCGGTGTAAGTACAGTAGCGTGTCGTGTATTCAGCCGCAAATTTACATTTTACTCATAATTGTAAGCAAAAACTTTCATTATTAACTCGAAAATTTTCGTCATAAATTACACAGCTCAAAAATTATAATGTTTGTATTTTTATAACATCAAAATGAGATTTTCACAAACTAAAATTATTTAAAATACAGTAAAACCTCGATATAACGGACCTCGTTATAATGGACTTCGGATATAACGGAAAAAGTATTTTAAATGAATTATTTTTAATAATGTAAAAATATTTAATTTGAAATAACAAAATCAAATTTATTTCCGCTAAGTATAAAAATTTAAAATATTTTTAAGTAATATTATCAATATAATATGTTTAATAGATAACAGTACATATTTAAATATAAACCGATGAACGTCAATCATCGATCGAACCCGACATTCGGGGTATAACACGAGTTTCTCTACGCGATGTTCTGTATTAAGAATAAAACTCCGGGTGTTCCCAGAGTTATCTATTCGAACGAATATGATGAATAGCTGTCCGAATTAATATATGCGTTAAAATTTTTCATTCAAGCAGTTTAAAGTAAAAAGTGTTAAAAAGTCGTTATAAGTTCACGTTTAAAATATGGGCAATGGAAAGCGAATTAATTTAACAATAACTTAAACAAAAACTTGAAATAATAAAACAGTTGGAGTCTGGAGTGTTCGTTTTGCGAATATGCGAGCAATGGGATTCGAAAACAAACGGTTTCGGACATTAAAAAAAACAAACACAAACTAAACAAATTTACTTTAATGTGTGATGTAGATGCGAAAATGAATCCCAGAAAACGAATAAAATTGACCCGTGAAACTTCACTTGAAGAAGCGTTATTGAAGTGGTATGCACAACAACGTTCTTGTGGAGTTCCAGTGCGAGCAGTTGAACTTAAATCTGCTGCAATTAAATTAGCTAATCATATGAACATAATTTCATTCGAAGCAAGTGATGGATGGCTCTGGCGTTTTCGCAAAAGACATGAAATTTTTAATAAGCGAATTTACGGCGAAGCTATTAGTGCCCCAAAAGAAGATATTGAACCTTCCCGACAAAAATTAATAGAACGGATAAATCTCGAATTGTTATTGCAATCCCAGATTTATAATGCTGATGAAACTGGTCTGTTATGGCGTGCTTTGCCTGAAAAAAACCAACCTTTTAGATATTATTCATCGACAACCGGTAGCAAAATCGGAAAGGAAAGAATATCAGCACTGATTTGTGCTACCGCTGATGGATCCCATAGACTGACACCTGTCATAGTTGGAACATTTCATAAACCCAGAGTTTTAAAAGACATAATGAATTTCCTTCCCGTTTCGTATTATAATTCACAAAAGGCGTGGTTCACAGCAAATATATTCAAAGATTGGTTTTTTAAAGAATTTATACCTGCAGTCAGGAAATTTCAAGAGGAGAAGCTTGAAATACCACCAGATGATGTAAAATGTTTATTGCTTTTAGACAACGCACCTGCTCATCCATCTGAAAATATTTTACGATCCCACGATGGTCAATTTAATTGTATGTTTTTGCCCAAAGATACAACATCGATAATTCAGCCCATGGACCAGGAAATAATTTTAGTCACCAAACGAATATATAGACGTAAATTTTTAGACGAGTTAATGGTTGTGTTGTAGAACGAAGAAATCGAAAAAGACACAAGAGAACAACGCACGTTGGAAAATTTAAAAAAGTATAATTTAAAATCCACAATTTTTAATTTCGCGGCTGCATGGAAGGTAGTAAAAGCCCAAACATTAGAAAATGGATGGACGAATCTATTTGACGACCAACATGAAGATATTGATTTGGAAGGATTAGAGGTTCCTGATTTTTGAAGAAGATTTTTGTAATATATCACAATGGCTCGAAATGGATGAAGGTGATTCTGATTATCATATTATGACTGAACATGAAATAGCTGATGAAGTGATGATGGTGGATAACGAGTTTGAAAGCGAGGATAGCGAGGAAAATGAAAGATTTCCAAAGATAAAATTGTCAACGATCAGATCGCATCTCGACGATTTAATAACATTTATAGATGATTCATCAAATAAAAAAATGCAATTGTAATAGGCACATTTCAGTAATTTTAGGGAGTTAATCATAAAAGAACAACAAACTTCAAAAGTGCAAACAAAACTTGATTGTTTTTTTTTAAAAGCATTGCCAACCCCAAGCGCTTTGACGTCCAGTACATAATATCATTTTATAACCAGAGTATACACATATCAGAAGTAAAGTTTTTCGATGAACATATGTCTTTGACATTATATACCTCTTCCTGGTCTTGGAATAACCAATTCCAAGACTCAATTGTGGTAAGTATCTCCCCCCGTATTAGTCCGTTATATCGAGGTTTTACTGTATTGTTATTGTTACGAAAACATAATTTGACTCTTTAACCTTATGGTTGAAATTAGATGTTTACTGATTAGAGTAAAGATGGAAATGTCTTCGAACGTAAGAGTACATTTTCGCAGCTATTTGTAATAAAATGCTTATTAAACTCAAATGAACGACTGGTGGCATACAAGACCATTTCACAAAAGTAGACAATTTTTTTAGAGAGTTAAAAGCAGCAGGTACAATATCAAATGGGTCAAACAATATTTACTGTAGCATACTGTAGACGATATCTAGAAAATATGACAAGCTCTACACAGTCTCAAAGTTATTAGATGGCGGAATCCTATCTTATTAAGGATTTAGGCAATGATGCATTAAACGATTTAAACTGTTTAGCAGCCTTGCCTTTTCACGGAGATGCAGAGAGAAGAAAGTCATACCAACATTTTTTAAAACATCGCTGAAGTGACGCTAGAGTGGGTCTGCACGTAAAATCTAGAACAGGACAGAACAATACACTAGATCTTTAAGAACCTACAATTACTAAGTGATAAACTGTTCCGACAACCTAAAAAGTTCGAGTTTTACATCTAAAACTGAGACAAAACGGATAAGATAACCAGGCATAAAGCGGAACAAGTGTTCCAGAAGAGCCAAAAAACATAAATTAAGAAATTCGAATTATTAGAACGTCGAATACGGAAAAAAAAGAATGCCATCTTTACCAGTAAAATCATTAGTTATTAACCGGTCAGTGTTCTACTGACGAAAGAAGAAACGGTGGTATTAGCCAATGGATTAAATTTGCGCAGTCGCTACACAAGAAATCATGTACAAGAGATATTCGCAAATCGTCATCGAAAAAGTTGAAGACATGCTTTAAGACGTCGAAAGAGTGTTAAAAACAGCAAAACCACCAAGGTCCAAGTTGACAGTTGGTGATAGAAAAGCTGTACGTAGTATAAGAAAGAAAACTGACATAGGTATCCTGCCTGCAAACAAAGGTAATGCCACCGTGGTGATGGACAGCCAGATGGTTTACCACAAATCCATAAGCCAGACATCCCACTACGACTTATCGTAAGCACAATCAACCTCGCCAAAATATCCATAGGACATATTCGTAAGCTTCGACGTGGAATCACTGTTTACTAAAGTACCAGTAAAAGATGCCGTGGAAGTTCTACGACATAAACAATGTATATTGTCGAGGTATTATTTCATATCCATGACCGATGATGTTTATTTTTTCTCCGATCGTCTGCAATGCTTCGCTGACTTAGGTGCTCTCGCTATATCTTATCTGATTTCTTCCGTTTTAACAACCTGTGTTGACAATCTTTTCGATTGCTAATCTTCTTTTATGAATTCACCGACTAGAATTTCTTAATCTGATTGTCCGGACTCCTTTGAAATTCGCGTTCGACCTGCTTCTGATTTCAGGCTTGTACGAGCTTAGTCTCATCACCATCCATAACAGAATATGTCAGAATAGTATGACAGAATAGTGATCTACGCCGTGTTTCAGCGGCCGAAGAAAAAAAGACGCAAGAGCGTTAAAAACAGCAATACTACCAAAACCCAAATTGACAGTTAAGAGAGAGAAGTGACATAGTTGATGTATCTGCAGACAAAGGTAATGCCACCGTGGTGATGGACAGAAAGGAATACAAGAAAAAAATAAACACTCGATAAGGAGCCGACGGAAATTCCACTGCAAGAGCATAAAAACTTATTTAAACAAGCATGAATAGCAACAAAAGTATGAGGCTTACCAAAAATTCATAAGCTATCTAGCCCACTACGATCTAACGATGTAAGTGCAATTAACTCATCTACATACAAACTTGCGAAACACCTCGCCAAAATATTGTCGCCCTTACATACAATATTAGTCAGCCCCTCCAAAGATATATTAGTCAGCTTCGAGGTGGTATCACTTTATGACATTTACTAAAGTACCAGTAAAACATGTCTAAACCTCTTACTAGCGGTATCTCCCAGTTATGTCTTTTACTTATAGAGTTTTTTCCATCAGTCATCGCTAACTTTAATATCGAGTTATTTCAAGAAGAGGTCTTAAAGATTCGTCCTTAAAATCCAAAATTACAGCTATGATACGTGGATGATACCTTTGTTATCTGGAATCTCTAAAGAAACGTTTAGGGATTTCTTAAACGTTTCTTAAGCCAATGTTTAAATAAACAGTCAAAATCCAATAATAAAGTTCACCATGGAGGAAGAAAAGGACATCATTCCTCGATGTGTCAGTACCCAAGACTAGCAATGGACAACTTAAACACATAGTATGCCGGAAGAAAATACACACGAATAGGTACCTACAAGCATCATCATCACACCACTACTCGCGACAGAAGATATCCGTGATTCCCACCCAATTCCACCAGGAGTCTGTGCGACGGAGATAAGTTAAAGAATGAAGGACGGCATCTAAAGGACGTACTACAGATAAATGGTTACATATCGAAGGCCATCCAACGGGCCAACAAGAAGCAGAAGCTACAATCACAGGATATTGTGATATGCTTACCGTAGCCAACCGGTCGGCTTCATTTGTTTTCCTTTTGTTTCAGGCGTAAGGTAAAGGAGAGCCAGGTGATTTAAAAAGGACAACATCATGGTGAAACATAACATGGTCTCCAAACTAGTACACTGCAGATAGCAAAGGACAAACTTCCTCTGTTAATGGGATCAGGGGTCTAAAGGCTGTCGTACGAGTGTGAACTATAAAAGGCGCATAGAGGAACACGAAAGGGATATCTGATTAGGAAAAACAGAGTAGTCAGCATTCAAAGAACATCGTCCAGAGAGGAATAATACAAAATAGCTTTTGATACGACGAAAATACATGGCAAGAGGGATCAATGAGAGGGATCAGAAAATCCATAGAAATTGTTTATTATAATCTACTGCAAACCGAAATCACTAATTATTAAACAGTAATTAGTTGATCAGGTCAATATTAAAAGTCGTTCAACAAAACGACGAACAAAACATCAAACATTGTCAATATTGAAGGAAGGAATGCTTGAGAAGGCAATAGCCCAAAGAAATCTGCAGGCTGGAAGTGAACTAATCGATAAACAGTTCAAGTGAAAATTTAGTTGTGAAAAATCAAGTAGTGACACATTTATTGGAATCCACATAGAAAAACTAGAACAAAGATTAGTGGTTTAATGATTAGTCAAACAATGTTCATAAACCGATTATTGAATAAAATTAACATGATTGAAAGTTGATTGGTGACAACTCCTATGCAAGTAATTTTCAAATAGATGACAGTTAATCAATAATAAGAAACGTACCTTATAGGCAGTTTAATGTATTTATGAGTTATACCATTGTCTTTAAATATTTAAAGACAATGGTTATACCTAACTAGATCGGATATATTATTTAGTGTATCATGCCTGATCGTATGCTAATAACCACAAAATGCATCATTTATGTGTTTTAACGAACTTAATCAATATTTAAGAATTGAATCTGGACTCCAAATCCTCAATTTTCCTTCTTTACAACTAAACTGATTCGAGAAACAAAAGAGGCATTGAAACAGGCAAAAGTAGGCAACATATTTTACACAATAATAATGAAAATGGAGCAAAATTAAGTAGTGGTTTAGGCAACACATTTTACAACTAAAACCCATATTTGAAAAGCTAGATTAAATAAATAAACAAAATTTTGAGGTCGTCGCATTTTTCATAGAATCAGTAACATATAGAAAAAAACTTTATTATTTATCGTGTGAATATAAAACGTATGAATCATCAAATACTATATATTTTAAGCACTTTTTACTGACTAAAACATTTTACTATCTGATCACTGAGCACTATCGTATAAATATAAAACAAACTTTTCGAATAATTCTATAATATAAATAGAGGTTTGTACGTCTTTCATATTTTGAAGCAACGAAACATTTCGCACCTTTATCTCGAACAAATACAAAATGAGAAGATGGTAATTAGGTGTATAGAAAAGGGTTGTGTAGGGAATGAAATTTTGTCTGGATTTATTTCATATCTAAGAATGATTTGTACAAATTGCTAGAAGAGAGTCGATGTTTGTGGAAGCGTGACAGCAACTCAGTGGTGAAAAATTTAAATCTTGTTTCATTAAAGATCTCGCTCCCAAGAAATGGGTTTTCCTTAATTTTTCGAATGCACGTGTTGGGTTTAAAAGACCTAACGTTTCTCTAATAACTAGAATGCAAATTAATAAAAAGGGAAAGACGTCTTTACTGATAATAGGAAGA